AGATTTCATCATCTACATAAAGTTGTTTCATATTCATTTATTTACGCTGACACCAGAAAATGAAGCACAATTTTGGGACCCCAATCTTGAAAATCCATGCTTTGGCCTTCCATGAAATATGTCCCAACACATTTAGTGGAGCATCTAAAAAATTCTGTAATATCTTTTGTTCTAGTTATGTGGGAAGCTAATATTCTTTGCTGAAATAGAGTTTGGACTAGTGTAGAGTCATGCCCATAGTACAAAATAATATAGTTTCAATAGTATAGATAGAAGCACTATAGTCTCTTCCTAAATTTTATCTCGTAAATTGGAGATAAAACTATTATTATATTTTATTAATTTTACTCATTATTATACTAAAAAAGTAACATCTATAATATTTACTCTAGGCCAGAAAAAGTTAAAGGACACTATAATATTCAACATTCAGATATTCCAAGAAATGTAGGCATCTGTACCAAAATTTGATTTTTGCTTGAAAGTTTTCTATAGCAGGTAAACAGAAACTGTTATGCTCAGGAAATATTTTTATAAAATAAATCTTATGATCTCACGACTTCCTAAAGCATGGATACATAAATATAAATATATTACTATAGATATAAATATTTGAATTATATTTATTCTTGTTATACAACTGCTCTTTCTACTTATAAGTAATAAAGAAGAGGTAATGAAGTGGGAAAATTTACAAGTTGTAGAATATAGGTGTCAGAGAATAATTCACCGTGATTAAAATTTAGAATAGATAATTTTTTAAAGAGAGAAAATCATATTATGAAACATGTAGTTCTAGCACACACAAAAAAGCTTGCTTTTCTTTATAGTATAAGACTATGATATATAATTAAAACTTACAATGAACTAACTTAAGATATCTATTAACTGATTAGGCTAGCAGGCTAGTGACCTATAGTGGGGCAAAGCTTCTCAGCAAGTAAATGTAATGATAACATTGTATTTTATATTCCACATTGAAGATTCTCATCCAGGTCTCCACATTTTCAAAATAAAGACTGTAAGAAATCTTGACAGCAAGTAGGTTTATTAAAAATTTATACAGTATAGCTGATTTTTGAGTTTGTTCTTAATAACTAAATTCATAGAGTACTTTTTTATCTCACCCCATTATTTGGTCTTACTATTTATGTGTACTCTACAATACTTCTGATGGAAGGGTTGGAGGAGACATTTAGACTATTTGTATGTAAATAAAAGGTACAATAAACTCATAGTGAGACCAGAGTTATATGCAGCTGATTGGGCATTTGCCTTACACACAGCTGATCTGGGTGCAATCCCTAAAATGTAATATGGTATCTTCCCTCTATCCCCCTACTACCCCAACCCCAGGAGTAGTCTCTGAGTGCAGAGAAAAAAAATAAGTTCTTAGCACTGCCAGATGTGGCCCAAAACAACAAACAAACAAACAAAAGACAAAACTCATAGTAACTCAATTTTATAGTACTCAATACACATTTAGTTTCTCTATACTATATTCTTGGAAGAAATGAGATCATGTAAATGGGAGAAAATGTCATAAATTACCCTTCACTGAAGAAAGATATTTTAGTCATAAAAAATAGTTGAATATACCACAGTGTTACATGCAACAGAATACACTTGAACTTAAGTTCACTAGCTCAATTACTTCAATTTATTTGGAGCTCAGAAGATACAAAAGCAGGAAGATGCAATACAATTATGGATAAGAAAACCTAAAGTATGCAGAGAAATAACTCATAAGTTAAAAGAGCTTCAAGGTATGACCAAACACAAATAATTTTGATGTAGAGTGAATTATTTTGAAAGTAATACTGGGTATAGAACAAATTATCTTCTCATCCATGAAACTTTAGTTAAGCTGCCATAGTAATTTCTTATGCTCACATGATAAATACTCAGTGAATTATTGAAATGACAATATGAGGTCATGTTTCACTTATGTATGTATATATGCACTTATGTATCTACACAGTTATATTTTGTTTTTATCAAACACATTCTTTGAATGCAGTTTTATGCTTGGGGATTTCCAAGGTTATGAGTCTTGGAAAGGAACATTTTTCCTCCTTTAAAAGTTAAAAAATGCTGTGTGCTCACTCTGGTCACTCTCTCCTCTACCAGTAACAGTGAACCACTGTTCTCTCATATAAATGGAATCAGCGAAAATCTCAGTCGTCTATTCACAGTTGAAATGACAAGTCTTTTATCAAAGAAAAGTTGGACTGTTTCTCTGAAAATTTTCAGTAGAATATAGCCTTTGACCCTCGTTATTGAAACCTCTCAAGAAATCTAACAGTCACTCTATATTTTCTCATGGATGTTTTAGTTTCATTTCTTGACTTATCTCTACATCAGCTTTTAGTTCTTGAAGGTATGGATAAGGCTGCAGAACAAAAGTGAAATGTAAATGTTTCTCTCCATCATACAGAATTGTAGTATCTTATATTAGCACACCTCAATTTATTCTGAAACAAGCCCTGGAGATATTAATGCCTACATGTTACTGCCTACATTTGTTTTGAGGAATTAGCCGGAATATATAATAATTTGTCAGAACAATGTTTGTAGCTTTGGTTTTGTTGTACTTGTTTCTGTTTATAGTGCCAGCAAGAATAAAACTCGGTGTCTGACAGACACAAAGCAAATGCCTTAACACCTCAACTGGTCCCTGGCTCTTGCTTGAAGCTTTGACTATTACATTTTACCATGTAATACATTATGTATTACATTTATGTAATATATACATTATATAAAATGTATTACATATAGCGGTAGAGCATTTGCCTTGCACGCAGCCAACATGGCCGACCCGAGTTCGATTCCTCTGCCCCCCTCGGAGAGCCCGGCAAGCTACCGAGAGATCTCGCCCGCAGGGCAGAGCCTGGCAAGCTCCCCATGACGTATTCGATATGCCAGACACAGTAACAACAAAGTCTCCAATGGAGACGTTACTGGGCCCGCTCGAGCAAATCGGTGAACAACGGGAGGACAGTGACAGGACACTGACGGTGTAATTTCAATGAACGCCTTTAGTTCTAAATTGTATGGATTGATACCAAAGGTGATAGATGATATGAATAAATATGTCGACAGAGGAAGATGGTACCCTTGTTTTGACAGCACACAAAAGTTGACTTTCTGTAACATTTGTCACAGGACAAAAATAAACTAATCAAAAAGAGAACAAAGCTGGAAAAGACGATTCTCAAAAAATTAATGGTAGTCAGGATAACTTTCTTTACATTCTTAGACAAATTTAAGTGGCCAAAATTATTGGAGATGAAAAGGAGCTCATCAACGGAATATTGAAGCAAGATGAAGAGTGAAATCTATAACGGAAATTGAAACTCTTGATTACTTAACAAAGTGGAACATTTTAATGATTAAAATTTACAAATAATAAATTTATGGACATTAGCATGTCTGTGTTTGGTAAATGCAAATTACTAACAAAGTGGGAAACAGTTCAACTGTTTGTGCACATGCCTTAGATGTAAGGTCCTGAGTCTGAGTTCCAGAACTGCAAGACCTCTCACCTCAACTCTCAGGATTCTCTGGTGTCACTCTAAAGGGGCACTGAGATCGACTGGGCATGATTGCTATGAAAACGGAAATGTTATTAGAGGCATGCACAACGTCTTCCAAGTGGGGAAATTAGTTTGTGAAAATATTTGTAATGTTAAAAGTAAATTTACTCCTTTAGAACTATTTAGTAATAAATGCTTCATTTTTTTGTGGTTTGTACAAAGTGATAAAGATACATAAGCAAATGAATAAAGAATGGCATATAGAAACTTGGTAAATGTACTGTCAAGAGAAAGTAAGTGAAGTGATGAAGTAAATATTCCTGAAACATTCAATAAAGTCTCAAGATGAAAAAAGAAAAGAACATATTGGAGAACAAAAATAACTGACTGAATGGGAAATTTTGAAACTAAAGAAGAGAATAAAAGTCTTCAAAAGGTTTGATTGTCACGCACACATACCTCACGTGCGCACATGTCCTGCACCCAGAGTGTCCCCATCCTGCAGGCGGGGGAGTGCAGCAGTACTAAGTCCAGCCAGGGCTCAGGGCTGGTCTGGGGCAACACTTGATACTGGCGGGGGCCCCCTGCGTCTCATGCACTGCTCTGTGACGGGCTGGTGTGTCCTGGCCTGGGGCAAGGTCGAGGGGGAGTCAGCTTTCCGGGTGGCTGAACCAGTCCCAGCTGGCAACCGGTTGTCACTGAAGCTGTCCCTGAGTCCTGAAGGACCCCTACAGCGTCTTGGGGCAATGAGCAGTGGACCCGAGCACGTAGGGCCCTGAGGGAGCTGGCAGGGAGATGCAGCCCCCAGAGTGAGTGTGGAACGTCCCCCAATTAACGTGTGGAAAATGAAAAAAAAAAAAGGTCTGATTGGTTTGGTGGTTGAAGTGTTTTTTGAATGTTAAAAAAATCGTATTTGTGTGAACTGCAGAATATGCTAATCTACTCAGAGTTTTGTGTAAAGGTCTATTGCAAAATTTTTATTGTTCTTGTCTGTAAATTGACTTTCATCAGACTTGCTTCTCATATGAATAATTTTCCTGTCTCTGTTTGCTGTTTATTGGATCGAATAATTGGCATTTTGATGACTATTTTGAAAGTGCAAGTTCTGGTACTTGACTGAGCTGTTCCTACAGCACTCAGACACTGAATTTGTGTGGCAGCTTTTCCCATTCTAGATTCTAATTCAAATCATAAATCAAAGTTCTGAATATAAAGGATTATAAATAAAAGAGCTTGGTATAGATTCATAGCCAACTAAATTAACCCATAGCCTAGAATGGAAAACTAAGGGCACCTTTCAATTAGAACCAATTGACTATTGAAATAAAATTTTGGTGGTTAGAGAACACGAGACAGATTGCAGAAAATAAACCCCATAAGGACCTCATTTGACATAAGCATAAATTTCTCCTGTCATTCTTAGAATGTAGATTTGTTAATTTCTGTTAGATTTTATCGCTTAAATTAGCTTGCATTTTCTTCACGAATTTGCGTGTCATCCTTGAGCAGGGGCCATACTAATCTATTCTGTATAGTTCCAATTTTAGTACACGTGCTGCCGAAGTGAATACAAGTAGCTTACATTTTCTTTGATTTTTTTGTTTAAAAATCAATATTTTCCTGAGATGATTTGTTATAATCCAGTTCACTGTAGTACTATAGCACTTTCTCCCGTTGTTCATCTATTTGCCCGAGCGTGCCCAGTGATGTCTCCATTGTGAGACTTGTTACGGTGCTTGGCATATCGAATATGTCACGGGTAGCTTGTCAGACTTTTCCTTGAGGGTGAGATACTCTTGGTAGCTTTCTGGGCTCTTCGAGAGGGGCGGAGGAATAGAACCTGCATGCAAGGCAAACGCCCTACCACTGTGCTATTGCTCCAGCCCAATCTTTACAAAATAAAATGGGGATTATTTCTTAATTTAAGAAATAGAATCTATATATAGAACATATTATTTTGAAATTAAAAAAACTACTTTTAAATTTTATTCAATATGTATATAATTTAGTTTTATAATGACAAAACTTTTCTCAGTAGTCAGTGTGGAATCTCCAGGCACCTAGGAACCCCTGGTGGCTCTCTCTGGCCGCCTGGTGGTCTCAGGCCACTTCCCTACCCCGGAAGGTCGATGCCATGGGCAGATGAAGGAGGAAACAAGGACCAGGCTCTTTGGTGACCAGTTGCCATTTATTCCGTTTTCCCCACATGCCTGTTCCAGTCTCACTAAACTCCCCGGTCTCATCTCACATTGCTCCTCATTTCCATTTTCTCCTGTTCCCCATGTTCGCCTCTCTCTGCTCTCCAACTCCCAGCCCTCCATCTGGCAGCCTGATATCTCCCTCTAGTTTCTCCTCAACTCCCAACCTTGACAGTAGCTACCACACACCCAGCTCATTAACATATCAAAAGCTCTTCCTGATCAAGCTTAATGGTGGAAATACCACCAAAGGATGTTTCTCCTCACTTTAGTCCAATAATTTAATTAACATCTTGACTAACATCTTAATTCTACTTCTTTATATTAGTTCTTTTGTATGAACATCACAAAGCAGAGCCTGGCAAGCTCCCTGTGGCATATTTGATATGTCAAAAACAGTAACAAGTCTCACAATGGAGACGTTACTGGTGCCCACTTGAGCAAATTGATGAACAATGGGAGGACAGTGCAGTGCTACAGTGTATGGACACAGTGAAAGATACATTTTTTTTAAGTTTTATTTTTTTATTTTTTTTTTAATAATTTATTTCTTTATTGAATCACCGTGGGAAAAGTTACAGAGCTTTCGGGTTTAGGTCTCAGTCATGTAAGTATCAAACTCATTTCCCTTTACCAATACTTATTTTTAACCGCGAACCCCAATAGAACCCCACCTCCCACCCCTCCCAATTCCTGTGAGGCAGATGAGTTCTAGTTAATACTCTATCTACTTTGACTAGATACATTGTTTCGATAGAAGATGCACCATTATTGTTTAGAGTTTACGACCCCCCCCCCCCCAATCAGACATGCTAAAACAGCGTTGTGAAATGATTTGCTTTCTACAGCTGGGTTTAAGAATAAAATGATGTCGCGCAGCCGCACTAGCAGCCGCGCGGTTTTGGATTTCTGCTATTTTACTTATTAACCCTGGAAGTATTTCTATTAAAAGTTAGATAGTTAAGAGATTGGTTTCTGTGCTCTGGAGAGCCGCTCGTGGGGGGCAGCTGGCGACCTCGGTCGGGCGTGAAGGACGGCCCATTACGCCCCCCTTCCCATGAGGTCCCTGCCGCTCCCACCCCCCGCTCAAACCTGCTGTCCACAAGGCTCCCATGCGGCCGCCATCTTTCTTTCCATGAAAGATACATTAAGCTTGTAGGGTGGCTCTCCTGGGGACATCTCGCTATAAATCTCAGACTACAGTGCTCAGGCCAGATTAATCTTTCTTAACCCTAGCAGGATCTTAATTCATCTGTTACTTTTTGGATCATGACAGAATTTGTCCATGACCATGCTCTTAACTTATAGTTAACTATTATGGCGCTTTGACCTGGCCCAGTTTGATGCCAGGGTAGCTCTCACCTAGTCCTGGGTCCATCCAGTCCCTCTTCAGGATCCTGCTTTGGGGATGGTAGGAAGTAGGGCAATTGAGGGATAAGACAGAGAACAGATGCCCAGGAGTGGATATCATTTGGAGTCAACTAACTCCCAAGTGACAAAAGCATAGCATTGAATGTCTTCTTGTATCTATACAAAAAGAACATTGCTCTGAATTAACTATGCAAAGGACTCAAGGAATAAAACAATATTTACAAGTTAACAGAGTCTGATTAGGAGATAAAGGTGATTGACTGGTTGGGGAAGCAGAGTACAAAGAAAGAGTTCACAGATAAACACAGAGAAATGGGAGCACTGTGATCAGAGTAACTCAATAAACCTAAGCTCCCGGTGGCAAGGCAGAAAAAACAAACCAATATTATCCTAGAGTCAGATTACTAAGTTTCCCACAAATGTGCCCATTGTACTAATCAGGCCTTGCACTTGCAATCACTGAATTATTATGCACTTTGTAGGTGAACAGAAAGGGAGCAATAAACTGCATTTATATATAAAAAAAAAAGGAATGCCTCATTTTAATGAATTAATCCTGGTGCTCTAACGCACATGGTGGGAAAATGTTACTCAAACATGGGTCATTTGCATATTTATAGAAACATGTGTGGACCTGGCAAGGAGAGAGGTTATATACAGTCAAAAAGAAGTGTTCTTGTCTGTTCCATCCTGTACCAGAGCTAGACAACAGATTTTGTGGGCTTTATATTTCTTAGGTGGTTAGACATTGCTCACTCCTGAAAATTCTCCCAAATAATTAAATCTTCTACATACTTAAATAATTTTCCCATTAAAGTCAAGCCTTTTGTGGATAAAGAAATTACTTTGCAAGGGGCTGGAGCGATAGTCCAGCTGGTAGGGCATTTGCCTTGCACGCGCCCAACCTGAGTTTGACCCCCGTAGTCCCACATAGTCCAAAGCACCTCCAAGAGTAATTCCTGAGTGAAGAGCCAGGAGTAACCTCTGTGCATCGCTGTGCATTGTGACCCAACAAGCAAAAAAAAAAAAAATTACTTTGCAAAACTGTCTTTTGTCTTTGTTTCCTACTGATTGTTTTATTTCTAGCTCTCAGATTAGAAAGGAAAAGATATGAAACTAAAATAAAGACTTGTAAAACACAGATTCTCAGGTTTCAGTGTAGAAAAACATATTCCAATGATTTTATTTATCATCTACAAATTTCTAGAAAAGACGTGGGGTTCTCTAGTATCTTGTTTATTGATAATTAAAAATATAAGTTTAAAACTCCAGTTTACTTTTGTTTTTATTGTTTGATGCAATAGTCAGGGATATTTCCTGGCTCTGTGTTCAGGAGACTATCTTCAAGGATAAAACAGGGGTCAATCCCATGCTACGAAACCACCGTAGCCATGTACTATTTTATTGACCTGGAAATATTAGCTTTAACACATTATCTCTATATATTAAAAGATTGCTATATTCTACATAAGTATAAATAAGTTTGATACAAACATCCTCATTTTTAGGTGCATTACAAAATTCTTTGAAGTGCTTTATTAATTTAAAAATCTTTCAATCATCAAAATTCATACTCTATATAATGTATGCAACTAATACAAAATTCAAATGATAAAATTAGAGAATAAATACTAATGTATACTATCTCTTACTATTACATTTATGCAGACATCACTAGCATCATGAATAATGGTAAGTTTGAATTAGGACTACAGAAGATAAGAGCTAAAAATAAAGCATGTGTAATTTATATTCACTAACAATTTTAATGAGAATACCTTTATCTGATACTAATTTATTCATCAGAATCCTGAAAGAATATGCAAATTGAGGGACTGATCATTGGAATATAACTACAGATTGAACAAAAAGACTAATTTTTATTTTTGTCTCCTAAGCATGACAGTTCTATACTTTAAATGTGTTCTTTGTTAATATATTAAGACTAATTTTCGGGGGCTGGAGCAATCGCACAGCAGGTAGGGCATTTGCCTTGCATGCAGCCTACCCGGGTTCGATTCCCAACATCCCATATGGTCCCCCGAGCACCACCAGGAGTAATTTCTGAGTAACATGAGCCAGCAATATTCCCTGTGCATTGCGGGGTGTGACCCAAAAACAAAAAAAAAGACGAATTTTATTTTCTTTTTATGGGAGTGAAGATTGCATCACATCCAGTGATATTCAGGTTTAAATCTTGGCTCTGCACTCTGGGATCACTTCTGACAGGGTTCAGGGGACCATAAAGAGTTTCAGAAAATATAAACCAGGTTGCTACATGCAATGCAACACCATCATTACTGTACTATTGCTCCCATCTCCTAATTTATCATTTGAAATCAGTTACCTGCCAATGAAAATGCTGCCTGAGATTTGTATTTTGTTAACTACCTTTAAAAATGTGTGCCTTTTTATTGCTTGCTGGTTTGTTTTGTTTCGTTTTCCTCTTCATGCTCATAAATCATTATCCCATCAGTTGCTGAGGAATGCTATGTTGTTGTCCTAGGAATTACTCTGGAGTCTGATTACTTTCTTGATTTAAACTTAAAAAAAAGTGTCCTCTCTTAAAGGTTACCTGAGTATTTCTACAAAATATTATGGTACATATGTGCATATTATGTTTCAAGCATACATGTATATAATGAATATTCTATATATAGACATATAAAATGTATATATGCATAAATATATATACATAGTTTTACCTAAATAAACTGTTGTTTCACCCAAACTCTACTAGACAAAGAACAGATTTCTTTTTCAAATTTAGAAGTTGATTCTACAATTTACACTTTTTAGACATGCTTGCAAATTCCGATTTTTTTCTTGCCTGATTTTCTTTTCTTCAGGTATTCCTGTAATTCACATATCTCTTCCCAGTCCTATGCTAAGCTTTTAGTATGTGGTCATCTGACTTATTGATGTAAGTGTCCACTCATTTGTAGAAAATAAAACCTTGTTATTAATACACGAATTAAAATATTTAGGAACCACTTTTTCTT